GCGTAGTCCCCCAACGACCCCCAACGGCTACTGTTGGCGGTGGGCCTCCATCGGGTGGCATCGTCATTTTCAGCTAGCATCATGCGGTCTCCCCCGCTCTCGATGAACCTCCGCAATGGTCGGTAAAACATTTTTTTTCCCGGAGGCGCCTTCAGTCTGTCCATGGAAGAGGTTTCTGCACGAGCGTCGTATTCGCGCGCATGTTGCCACGTGCTGCACGCCCGACAAGACTCTTGCCTTCTCCGCCGTCGTGTGCTAGATGTCCGACACAGACATGACATTGCTGCCCTCTCTATCGTACAGTTCATGGCTGACCAGTACCACAGGCTCCCTTCGCTGCTCCAGGTTGCTGTGCTGCTTCTGGTGGTCCCTCTGCTGCTCCTCGTTGCTGTGCTGCTTCCCGTTGAAGTAGTCATTCGTGATGTCGTCACATTCTCGAATGTCTTCCCACGTCCCCCCCCTCCTGCGTTTGATCCACCACCTCGGTGTCGCTCGTGGATTGACGTCGCAACCCAACGTGTAGCACAACTCAATGACAGCCTCTGAAGTTGCCACATAGTCGGGACCGTCATCTGCAGCTTGCATAAGCGTCCTTCTTCTACGCGAGTGCAACTGGTCCTTCATTCGTCCCAGCGCCCTCTCCTGCCGACAACAAAGAACAACAGTTGAAATGGCCGCCACCACGGCTGCCCGCTCAAGTGGTGTCAACAGCTCACGTCCGCCCTCTCCGCCGCCCTCCATCGCCACCACCTCCACTGGGATGACGTGGTCCGAGAAGCTGCCGCCTTTTCGTGGATGCCGTCCCCCTCGTGGAACTGCGTGTGATGGCCGGACGACGTGGAGGAGAAGCTCGACGGCGATGGACGCACCCGGTGCACGCATGTACACTGACCGGGAACGGCGGGAAGTGGTTGAAAGGGACACGGCCGCCAACTTGAAGGCCGATTCAGCCCTGCACCATCTACACGCCACAAGCCGAACGTCGTCGTCGTCACCACAACCGTACCTCAAATTTCGAATTTCAAACGTAGAGGTCCCCCGTTTTTATTTTATTTTTTGTGGTGTGCCTAATGCCCTTTCACGCCGAACGTCGCTGGACCACGCCCTCTCCACACGGATGACGGATGCTGGACCACAGACAGCCCCGCCCGTGGGCACGTATTTTCATAAGACAATGGCTGCGGGCAGGCCACAAGGAAACGTCGTTGGGGGACGTGCCCAAGGATGTGTGCAACGACGCCGCAAAATTCCCTTACGAACCACAAGGAAAATTCCTTGTGGCTCAAGGAACTCGTAACGAGTGTCTAAAGATGCCCTATGTCCCAACAAGTTTCTCCTTAGCTTTACCCAAAAATGCTGATGGTAGGCTATGTCCCAACAAGGGCTTGCATATGCCCAAAAATGCTGACTGTAGGCTCTGTCCCAAAAATTGTTGATCCTTGGCTATGAATGAAGGAGAGCCTTTTCAGTTGGCTTCGAACTCGTGATCTGTGCTTGTGGTTTCATATGCCGGAAATTATGGATCCCATCAATTTTGTTGTTGTCCCGAAAATTGCTGATCCTTGGCTATGAATGAAGAAGAGCCTTTTTAGGGTTCAAAGTCAGTATATGTTTCCCTCAGGGGTACCGCTAGTCCCCCTGACGTCAGAAACCTGGGGGGTACCGGTAGTCCCCCTGGCATCAGAATTTTCAGGGGTACCGGTAGCACAGAGTGGAAAACAGGTGGGGCCTGAAAAAATGGAATTTTGCAAGAATGCACAAAATAGGCGCGGCAAATATTTGATGGTCAAAATGATTTTTTTTTCTTAATGATATTGTTCCCTGAAAGATCACGAACCTAGGCTACCAGAGTGGCCCGGGGTCACTTGCCCGGCCGGGGCAAAAATTAAAAAAAAAAAATAAAAAAATTTAAATTTTATTTGTTTTTCTAAATTTGGTGCAGAATTTCGATGTGACCCTGAGGCAAAAGTTGTTCAGTTTATTTTTCTGCATAACATAGTTTTTTTTCGGATTTTTTTGATTTTTTGTTTTTTGGCTGGGACCTTCCCTGGTCTTTGCACGGGCTGGCCACCGGGACCCGGGCGGCCCGGCTGGTAGCCTAGTCACGACCTAATTTTTTTTTTTTTTTTTTTTTTTTTTTGTTAAAGAAGAGCCAAGCGGAAGCTAGGGGTGCTGGTAAGAGCAGACACCGCTAGCACCGCCGGGGAGACTCCATCTATTGGTGGGGAGCAACACCTGCTGGAAATTGGGTCCGGCGTCCCTGAACATTGTACTCATTCATGTGATCAATCATGCAGTTGTGACCATATAGAGCTAGCAAGCTACCCAGCTACCCACCCTCAAATTTGCAGACCTTTTGATGAATTATTCTGAGCACAAAAAATCGGCAAAGTTGCCGCTTGTGAATGGCGGGATTGGACCCGTCTGTGACGAACGGTGGTCGCCGCCCCTCCGTACAACCCGGCCCTAGCTCATCGGGCCGAGGGGTTTCGGCTGGCGGGGGGACCGGTGGTAAGTAAAAAGTGTCGTTTGGCTGGATCCCACATGTTCCCGGGCCGCTTCAACCTTTTTTGGCCGGGGAAACGATATACGACCTGGCAGGTAGGGAGTGACCGCCGTGGAAGAAATTTGGAGGAAAGCACAAGAGTGCTCTACAGGGTCCCTGTTCCGATAAAGAGGGCATTTTTTAATGTTTTTCTTTTCTATTTTTTTTTTGTCCGTCCTGCAACACCTGGTTCATCGTTGCTGTGGAGTCTGTGTGACACGGCAGGCCGACTCGGCGCTTTGGGACTCGAACACGGCGGTGGGAAAGTCGGTGGGAGGACCTGGAAGAATCGCCAAAGTACAGGGACTCGAACACGGTGGTACGCGGGGAACACGGTGGCGGGAAAATTGGTGGAGAGGGGACTTGAACATGACGGTGGGAAAATTGGTGGGAAGACCGGAGAGAATCGCCGAAGTACAGGACCTCCTCAAACGGCCAGTGCATCCCCCGTGCACGTGCCTGTTCAATTTCAGAAGGCTACGTGGAGCAGTCGTCCCGCTCGTTGCCTGGGAAAGTCCCAACCTCGCACTAGTGCTCCGCTTGTGTATGCATCTGCCGCCGGCTGGTGTTGAGTTTCACCATCGTCGTCATCGCATCGCACGTCGTGGCCACCAGTGTATGGTGTGGGCACGTTGTTGGGGGGAGCGTTTTTCCTTTTTTTTTTTTTTTTTTTNTTTTTCCTTTTTTTTTTTTTTTTTTTTTTTTTTGAATTGGACATGCTCCAATCTATTCGTGGGGAGCAACAAGTGCTGGGAACCGGGCCCAGCGTCCCATTCCAAAACATTGAGAAAATTATGAGAAAATTATGCAGAAAACTTTGAGATACCGGGGCAGCGGGGCCATTACCCGACTTTGGCTAAATGAATAACTATGCAATCTACACAAAAGAAGCTAGGTTCTCAACAGTCTAAAGTCTGATCATGGGGATATTCAGACTGAAAACCACCTACCTTTAGCGACAGTCAGCAGCTCAACCCTATCCGCCTCTCCCCTATACCCCGATACCCAATCTTGTCCACTCCCGCCCCCAATTGCTAGGTTACAGAGTGGCACAACCCACCCCAGAGAAACCCCCACCTGCTAGGCTACAGGGCAAAGCGACCCGCCCCGGCTCCGGCCAGCGTCGACTGAGTATCAGCTCGCCAATAGACACTAGAGTGCCTTCCACCCTCGACAACTCCCCAGATCTCTCTACCAGGTCTCATGTCCCTGTACCGCTCAGGTTACAAGGCAGCGCAACCAAGCCCCAGCACAGACCAGCGCCGTTCTGACCTCGTCCATTTGCAAACCACTGGGACCAACTCTTTGTCTCTCTGTCTCTCTGTCTCTCTGTCTCTCTGTCTCTCTCTCTCTCTCTCTCTCTCTCCTCGTGTTGCATACTTGTGAAACACATTCATAAGTATGGCGCAGATTCCCATAACCGACCAGATAATACAGAGTTGATACAAATACAGCGGAAGGGCATGATACCTTTGGACTGACTCAGACCTGACTCGGACTGCACTCGACAACTCTCATACATTCATCGGGTGTGAACGCCCTGGCCTTGAGAGTAGACGAAAGGGCCAGGGACTGGAATCATACACGGATGAAGGGGGGAGAGGAGAGAGACGAAGGAGGAGGAGAGGGGAGATGATGTCAACTCGATGTTTCCAAAGATAGTAACTTGACGAAAATCCGAAATGCCATGAATACCAAGTCTCACAATCTCCCAGATGTCGATCTCACAATGTCAAGTACATCTCCGAAGGAAAGATCGAAATCCGATCCCGAAATACTCCTCAACTCGTACTCTCAATGTCGCCGTCTCAAATGTCATCAGAAATCGTAACCATCTCCATTACTGTAGTAGTAGTCCTGCAGGAGGAGTAGACTTAGACTGAGAAGCTAGGGAGAGAGAGAGAGAGAGAGAGAGAGAGAGAGAGAGAGAGAGAGAGAGAGAGAGAGAGAGAGAGAGAGAGAGAGAGAGAGAGAGAGTCGAGGCAGAGGAACAGAGGGAGAGAAGGCAAGGCCTTCGTCCCGGTACCTGCTGGTAGCTATGGCGCGGCTGGGCAGCTGCGCTGTTTCTCTTGCCGCTGCGCTGCTGTCTCCTGGCCGCTCTCGTTGCTGCAGCGCTGCGCTAATCTGCTTAACGCTGGGCTGTTCCGCTAATCCTCTAGACTAACTCGTACATACTAACCTCCCTACTGAGGCTGGTACCCAGCCTTTTGTAGTGCTGGGCCGGCCTCTTGCCTACCGGTACCTACTGGCCTGGACCGTTGATCTAGATCAACGGTCCAGTTTCGAAACTGGTTTGGCGCCTAAACTACGGCAGCCTCTGAACCGCTGCCGGTAGGTCCTAGGCTGGACCGGTACCGGCCTTGTGGCCGTTCGGCCTGGGCCTGCCTGAACCGCCGTGGTCCAGGCCCTTTTGAGCCTCATCTGAACCGGTGTCCCCTAGGCTAACCCTGCCTGTCTTGGAACCGGGCCCTAACTGGGGCCCGAGTGGCTCAGTATGCCACACACTCCCCCCCTTGRAGGACCGAGCTAACTGYGAGGGCGAAGCTGTCTGTCCGATGTCCRTACAGGGCGGGCAGGTTGRGCAGCTTCCTTAGCAAGTCGCTGTTTTTCATAATGCKCGAAGATGAGGGGTGCTGATGCCTTCAGATCAGCTCTTGAGATCCAGCGTGTGTCATTCGGATCGCATTGCTTGARTGTAACTTTGTACTGCATTGGCTTGTTGCCATGCTTGCGATGCGTGAGAACCCGGTCGACCTCCTGATGGCCATCCATTGAAGGAGGGTCCTGTGACCGTCTGCTCGGGAAGTCCGCTGCGGAGGTTGGAGTGTAAACCGCCAGCTTCGAAGCGTGAAAGATCGGGTGTACCGTCAAATGCGGGGGAATCTCAATGATGAATGATGGACCCGCGGGGTCGTCGCCAGCTGCTGAAGTGACCATCCATGGTCCAAACCACTTCAAAGAGGAGCTTGCGCGAGACATCCTGCTCGAGCGCGAATTCCTCGGAGGTGACCCAACTAGGTCGCCGGCGCGAATTGGACATGGGATGCGACGCCGGTTCGCTTGCTGCAGCATATGCACCTGAGCCTTTTGCATGTTAGCGCGGGCTTTGGCCAGCAGTTCCCTGTACTTCCGTGTAGAAGCGGGGGAGCAAGCGGCGTCTATATCGGCAGCCCGTGGAAGCAAAACGTCTGCGAAGATACGTCCTTTCCGTCCGCCGTGGTGCAACTCGAATGGAGTTACGCCGATCGCCGGGTGCACCGAAGTGTTGTAGGCGAACTCGATGTCGGGAAGGCGGTCAACCCAGTCTTTCTGATCCGGGCGGATGAGTGTGCGGAGCATCATCTGCGCAGTCTGGTGCGCATGTTCCGTCTGCCCATCCATTTGAGGATGCCGTGCGGAGCTCGGTTTCATGCTGGTGCCGGATTCCACCATGAGTGCCGCCCAAAAGGCCGACATGAAACGAGTGTCGCGGTCGCTGACGATGTCTTCCGGAACGCCGTGGCTGCAAAACCAGCCGGTATGCAAAAGTCGTGCGAGCTCGGGAGCCGTCGCATGATACTTGCATGGAAGAAATCGAGCGTAATTGCTCAAACGGTCAACGACCGTGAGAATACCATCATGACCAAGGCGATCGCGAGGGAAAGGACCGGTCACATCCATAGCAATGGAGAGACTTGGTGCCCGAGGTATCGGCAGTGGTTTCAGTTCTCCGTAAGGGAGCTGATGGCGCCCTTTATTCCGGTGGCAAACTGCACATGACTGAATGTACCGGTTGACGTCGTTGATGATGTCCGGCCAGTGAAAATGCCGGTGGAGTCGTGCTAGTGTGCGTGCGACGCCAAGGTGTCCTGCCAGCCGCGAATCATGGTATTCGCCAAGGAGGCAAGTGCGCAAGATGCGGTCTTGGGGAACACACAACAAGTCCTTGCCTCGCGTATGGAGGAGCAAGTAGCCGTCGATGATGCGATAGTTGCTTGCCGGCGGTTGGTCCGATGATAAGTTCGCGTAAAGTGTGGAGAATCCCGGATCCGACTTGTAGCCGTTTACGAAATGTTGTTGGAGGTCCTCGTCGAGGCCGAACGTGGAGTGTACCATGGCGCAAAGATCGGGTCTTCGCGAGAGAGCATCCGACGCCTTGTTCGAGGAGCCCGAAATGTGCTTGGAGGTGAAGTCGAACTGGTCAATGAAATACATCCACCGACCGATCGTGCTGCTCACCGTGTCTTGCGTCTTGTAATATGTCAACGAATTGTTGTCCGTTGCCCACGTGAATCGCCGACGCCCGAGGAGAAAGTGACGCCAACGCTGAAGTACGGAGACAAAAGCTAGGAGTTCCTTCTTCCTCGCATCATCAAGAGTGTTGATGGGCGACACCTTTTGGCTGAAATACTCAACCAGATGCTAGTCTGTGCCGTCATGCTGTTCCAAAACTGAGCCAATGTCGTAACCGGAAGCGTCCGTAGTCACTTTGGTAGGCAACGTCGGGTCATAGATGCTTAGGACGGGAGCTTGAAGCAAAGCCGTCTTCAGCGTGTGAAACGCATGCTGGGCCTCGTCGCTGAACTCGAAAGGCACCAAGGGGGACTGAAGTCGTGACAATGGTGCAACGATGCGTTGAAATCCTTTGACGAAGCGCATGTAGTACGATGCCAAGCCGAGAAAGGAGCGGACGTCGGTAGTACACTTGAGGTCCGACCAATCTTGAATACCTTGTAACTTGTCCGCGAGCGGACGAATGCCTTGCGGCGTGACGTAATGGCCCAAGTACTCCAGCTCTTGCTGGGCAAACTCGCACTTGTCGCGGTTTGCCTTGTACTTGGCGATACGAAGCCGCTCCAATACGGTGCGAAGGTTCTCGAGATGCTCGTCCAGCGACCGACTATAAACCAAGATGTCATCGAGGTAAATGAGTACGGAGCGGTCGAGCAAGTCGCGGAATTCCGTCGTCATAGCCGCTTGGAAAGTAGCCGGGGCATTGGTAAGACCGAAAGGCATGACGATCCACTCAAAGTGCCCATACCGCGTCTTGAATGCGGTCTTGTACCGATCTCTTGGCTGAATCTCGATCTGGTGATAACCGAACTTGAGGTCTAGCTTGGAGAAGTACTTGGCGCCGCCGAGTCGCTCGAGAAGATCATCGATCCGAGGGAGAGGGCCGGCGTTCTTGATCGTTTGTGCGTTGAGTTTACGATAGTTGATGCACAACCGAAGGTCCTTGTTCTTCTTCCGGACGAAGAGAACGGGAGCACCGTATGGCGAGCAGCTAGGGCGAATCCAGCCCTTGGCCAAGAGGTCGTCTAGTTGTGCTCGAAGCACTTGAAGTTCCTCTTCGCTCATGCGGTAGATGCATCCGCGCGGAGGTACGGCGCCGTCCTCGAGAGTGATCCCGTGACGTATGGGCCGATCCGGTATGACTCCAACGGGAGCTTGAAAGACATCCCCATAGCTGTCCAACAGCTCAATGATGCGTGGGTCCGACGTATCCATCTTGGGCTGATCACCGGGTGGGAGGGCGTGAAGAAAACATATGCCCATCTCCTCGATGTCGTTTCGCCGGATGGATTGGCGAATGCTCGCCACGGATACCACGTGACAACCAATCGAAGGGTGAGGAAGCGGCACCGTACACGGGACTAGTTCGCCATGCCGATCACGAACGTGAACGGTGCGGCGATGGAAGTTCACCGGATGGTCTTCGCTTTGCAGCCACGACATGCCTAGGATCATATGGAACTTGGTGTCCAATATGTCGAAGGACACGGCCTCGCTTGCTAGCGGGGCGAAGTACACGGGCACCGAGTCAACGCATCGGTCGATTGACTTTTACGTGTGACCATCGGCCAACGTGACATGCGTAGGCTGACGTTTCCTTCGGACGTGCGGGCCTAGCCCGGCACGTGCCATGAAGTCTTGGCTGATGTAGTTGCGAGTCGCTCCACAATCGATCAAGGCACTGCAGGTCGCCTTTCCGATCTGACTGCGGATGTAGAGGAGCGGTGCGTCGGTGTCGACGTACCGTTGCGTTGCGTACTCGCGGTCAATCTTCGCGAGAAAATTGCAAAGGTCAACAACCTCTACTCCGCCGTCCGTCGACGGAGGTGGTACTGCAGCGTGTAAGTATTCGCGTAGATGTGCCATTAAGGCATTGCAATGCGGAGTTGGCAAAGAACCGGTGGAGGGCAGAAGCAACCATTGGAAGTCCTCAACCGTCAACGGGTCGAGATCCTCAAGTCTCGCCCAAGTTGACGAATCCTCCGATAAGATGGCTGGCGAAGCCACCGGTTCATTGTCTGACGGCGGAACTGCCGCGCATATGCTTGAATCTTGCACGTGGACAGGCTGGTTCATCGGTGGGACCAGCTCGACAACATAGTTCTCGTACTCAACGCGAGAACTTGCGACTGCCGCGGTGTCCCCAGATGTGAGAGAGGCTGCTAGCAAGGCAGCCGACTCCGGCGGACTGGGAAGTGTTGTCGCTGCACTTCCCGCGGTGCTCAGTTTCCGGAGCCAGGACGCTTGACATTTTCTTTGTCCTTGTCGAGGCATGCACTGGTGATGTGCTTGGTGCTATTGCACCACAAACAACATCCCCATTTCTGTCGCAACTTGAACATGTCCTCGGTAATCCCGAACTTCGTCCATGGTGCCTGTCGTGCTCCATCCGCCGACGCTGGTTTCGCCTTCTGTTTTCCCCCTCGGGGTTTTGAGCGTTGCGGTGGTATTGCTGCCGCCACATCTCCGTCACTTGATGTCGAAGCGGCTGCGTAGTCCTCACTTTGTCCTTGCTGGACTACTGCTACTTGCGGCGTCCGTTGACCTTTTCCTTTCTCCACGTAACAGGGCTGCTGACGAGTCTCGTTAGCCGCACGCCGGTTACCTTGTATAAGCTCTCTGGCTTTGGCGATCATGTCGTCAAAGTTCTTATACTCGTATT